CGAGCGAGCGGGCGGGCAAGAGCGCGGGAAGAGGGGAGGGCGGTGCGGCGAGCAAGGAGAAGAGAAGGGCGGGAGGGCGGGTAAGAGAGGGCAGAGCGTGCCGAGGGCGCGCTCTGAGGGCCTGCGGGCAGCGGCGGCCGCGGGGGAGTCGGATGAGTCAGGTCTTAACGGGGAACGGGGAAAAAAAATCGCCAGCGGAAACACGTCATCCGGCGCCAACATGGCCTCCACGCGCGTGGATTATTGGTGAGCGCGGCAGCACGTGGAGTGCGACTGCCCACGTGCTCTGCGCAGGCGCACAGCCTTAGCGAGGAAGGCGGGGGTGGATGCCCTCTGACGCCTGGGGAGTTAAGTGGCTCGAAAGATGGGCGGGTAGGAAGACACGAAATGAAAATTAAAGAGCACGCTAGACTTACGCTAGAATGGTGAACTGCGAATGAAAGAACAAAATATGGGTTGGCGATTCATTCACAATTTAAAGAATCCTTCGATATGAACGAAACTGATAAAAAAGGTAAGAGAATGTCAACTTCTTGCGAGATCTCGAGAAAAAAAAGAAGCACTTTATCGCTTTCGTCACCTAATACTCAAACGGCCCATGTAATTAAGTTTCAATTCAGAATAGTTAAGCCGAAAAAACTACTACAGAAAACAAAAGTAATAAAAATATTTAATTAGAAACATAAGCATTTTCATTGTATTTAATCGTGTACCAGCATACGCACGTAGATTTTTAAAATACTTATCACTTTGAAATTCCGAAATTTCCCCGACTCATTTCCGGCGCTATCACGTCCCCAACGCGAGCGATCGAGCCGATGCGGCAACGCACTCGCAGAACAATCGCCGGATAAGGTGAAGAACGCGGCGCGCGAAGCACGGGAGTGCGCGCGGCACACGGCGCGCCCGCCTCGATCACGCGTATGACCCCGATGACTCACGCGGCCCTCGTTTCTCCCGTCTGTCAACACTCCTCCTCGCGCTACGTTTCACCGTTTGCGTAACTCCACGCAGTGCCGCGCGGCGCCGGCGGACGCCCATGGACCCTCGCAGGCGAGGCGGAGAGTTGTTGCAAAAACCCACTACATTCCTTGCAGGAGTTTGCCTGTGACGATTGCCAGAGTTTGCCAGGAGCGGATATCTAGTTACCTTACGAAGCATTGGTCGTGCCTTCGCAACACAACACCACACAACGTTTGTAGGGCCCGCTCTATCTTACGCAAGATGAAGAATGGAGGTACTCGAAATTATTCCCGCAGAATTACGATAATACAATGCGGTTCATTGAATTTACTTGCGATCTACGAATATCCAGCTCTTCAACAAGTGCACTTGCGATTGTTACGTCGACGTGAAAAATCATTAACGTAATATTCTACGGTCGTGTGTAATTCCAGAGTATCTATGCTGAATGCTAGTATGAATTCTGAAGTTACCGTATTACATAAATACATTGAAGCAAAGGGCAGATTGTAACATGAAAAGCACGAGGAGTGTCACATTAAATGTCTGCCGATCTATTTTCGCCGTCGCTCATTTCTCACTGTTCGAACGACCTCGAGGCACACGCGTGTCAACACGGGCGCAAATAGACCTGCAACTATCACGCGGCGGCGTATTTGTTTTGTTTCTTTTTCCTTCCCGCGATTTCGGTCGCTCACCGTCTTTGGAGGTCGTCCAAAGTTGGTGGTTGAAAGCCGCGAGAAGGAAGAGACATGGCTCGTATAGCGCGGCTTGTTATTGTAAACCTTCTGTTCGCGCCCTGCCCCCGCCTCCAGGCCGCCCACGGGCGAACGAAGCGGGCGAAATGGGCGACGCGCCCAGGATCCCCCGCCCTGGCAAGGCCCTCCTGGCAGACTCATTCCGCCGTTTATAAAATTGGTCCGCTCCGAAGTCCGCTTCCGCGATTATTATCGTGAAAGCGACGACTTCGCTTCTTAAAGCACCCTCTGCAGAGAACTCGCTCAACCATACCTCTGTTTCTCGTGGTTTCATCGCAAAAACTTAAGGATCATTTTGGTGGATTCATGAGATCTAGGCCGAGTTCCATCATTATCAGAGTTTACTTTAATCCGCTACAAAATTGAAATTAACGATCAGTTGGTCGCAAACATACTTAACACACTACCATATTGAAAATGTAAATTGGCTAAGTTTCGAACTGAAAACGTTGCTGAATACGATGAAAAGTGGAATATAAACAGCAGTTATGGCACTAAAGTGTTACGTTGATTTTCAATTATTAATTATGGACCCCCTGGAAACCTACATCCAAGTTGTTTGTAGTCCATAGATTTGAAATCCGTTCTATCGGAGGTAGGTAGCTGCTCCGCTCCTATATGGCTCGCGCCGCAACATTATTCATCATTTCCCGGGCAGCGGGAAACTCACGAGGGTTTGGTGCTTGGCTGAATGGGTTTCGGTGCGGCGTTCGCTGCCGCGGGCGGGCGGGCGCGCGGGCGCGGATGCTGCGTCCGAGCCGCCTCCCGCCCGTCACGTGACCGTCAAGGTGAGCCCTGAGCGGCCTGAAGGCGCAAGTGTTCGGCGACTGGCGGCGGGCGGGGCGGCGTGCCTGGGCTTGACGAATGGCGGGAATCCGGGAGCCGGATTGCCGCTGTGGCTTGCGACGGGGCTGCGACCGCGACTCCCTGAGACCGCGCCCAACCTTCGGCATTTCCTCGGCGGCTCCAAGCCGGTTGGGGGCGGTTTGGGGAGGCGCAAAACTGAATTTAAATGGCATTGTATGGCGTTTCTTAGTGCGCCGGGGGAGGCGTTTGCACTCTTGTCCACAACGCATCGTATCCCAGGCAATAGAGTTAATTGGGTTTATTAAAATCACTTCGGGACCTTTCGGAAACGGGCCATGGTTCGCTAATAGTGATGTGGAGAATGAAAGAAGAGACATCCCCTTAAAAATTGCTTCTCCACCTTACCTTTAGTTCTGAATTTTCCTTCGCCTTGTTCGCAGATTCAAAGCAATTAAAGATTCTTGAGATTCGAAAAGAGTGATGTAAATTGTTATAAATGACGAATTTTCCTAAAGTATTTTTTTAAAATCGACATTTTCCCTCTGATTTTACTTTTATTTGAATTTAGATTTCCACTCTCGAGCACAGTTAACTGAAATCGGACGTAGTCATCGTGCGACGCAGGCAGTACGTAGCTGCCTACCACGGGCCGTCCTCGCAACCCCGTTCCGTTTTTATTTTAGACTACTTGATCATCTCGCACCCACCTCACTACGCATTTAACTCGCAATAAGAACTGGGTCAAATGGTGAGATGGCGACAAAGCGCTCCTTTTTTTTCCTCCCTTTTTTAAAATGAAACCGTCTGGCGGGTACTTCGCAAGGCAGGGCGGATACATCGCGCAAGTAAACTCACATCGAGGAACACCTGACGTCACGTTCTTGAAAGTGGGAAGATGTGAACATATATATAAAATCTTTAAAAAGTACAACGCCGTCTTCAAAGGAAACTGATTCATGCCGAAGTAGGAGGAAAACCAAAATTGGTGTTTTATGGGTTACTTCCTGCAAAATTACAGGAAGCGTCTAGAATTTTCCGCAACAGAAATATTCGTTCACGTTTTAATCAAATTACAGGATTTGTCGATACTTTTGGTATTATTATTTTAGAAAGTCCTAAAATTTGAATCCACGTGATTGGTTTGTGAAAAATTCACGAAACTTAACTGATATCAACGAAGAGGAAGTAATGAAGGTGAAATTATAGTGTCCCCAATTTTGCTTGTGTAACAAGGTACCCGCCCAACTACCAACTCAAACCAGGAAACGTTTTCTCCACGTTTCCCTAGCACGACCATTCCATCGTTGTGAAACGCCTTATTTCCCTTCGTAAGAGAGACGGTCTATGAATTTTTAAGTAACGCCTATATACAATCACGGCGCTCTACAGTCTACACTTTCTCAACGCCATCCATCGCTTCAAGCCAATTTCGGGCCGAGTTTTTGGAATTTTCTTCCTCGTCCATTCTGGTCTGCGGGCGCTAGCGCGGCAGACGTACGTACATCTACTACGTGTGCATACACGCGTTTTGAGACCACTGTGGTCGTCGCCTCGGACCGCAATGACTCACGGAAACTTCCTCTGATAGGCAGCAACGGACGCGATGTAGGGGAGACGCTGTTCGGGGCGTTGGTTGCGTGACGTCGGAGGTTACTTCGATCAGCTCGCACTGGAATACCTCTCGCAGCCATTTATGTGCATTTCTTTGAGCAAACAGTGCCCGACAGTTTTTTTTTGTTCTGTCTCATTTGATTTACTCTTAACAGAGAAAGATAATACCGTACGGAATTGCAGCGTTGTACACGCGTACATTCCATTGCGCTGATTTATCCCCATAGAAAATTGTATTAAGGTTGCAAGTCATCGGGAACTGCCTCGGTTGAGAAAAACTCAGCTTAAACTATGACCAAGCAAAATGTCGAATTCCATTTTTTTAAATCAAATTTCATTAAAATTGATTGTTTACAGTTTTCCGATGTTGGACATTAGATTATCTCTACAATTAACTACTTGTAAATTTAATTTTGAAATAAGTATATCTAATTTCCACTGTGGAATCGTAAAATAAATAACATTCGTAACGTTTGATGAGATGAATCAATGTCAGGAACACAAGGCTAATTTGCAACAAGCCAAATGTAATATTAGGCATTTCAAGATAAAAACATACATTAAAGAGAGAATCAATAAGCATCAGAATAATTTTAGATATTAAAAAAAATGTATGTATAGTTACAGATTGAACACCTATTCAATTACGTGGGAAGCATTGTTAAAATTTAATTTTGTAACAATATTATATTTGTTATAACAAATTTATTATTATAACAAAATTATTAATTATTGTTATTATAACAAAAGTCTTAATATTTGTTTTCGAAACGTTTCTTCAAGTAGAGTTCTGAAGTGTGCGAGTGGGGGTGTTGCAGATTAGCCGCATGTCCTGTGCGTCGTGTGCGCGAGAACGCTTACCGATGAAGTCGAAGGCCTCCTCGAAGTACTGCTTGAGGTTCTGGTGGCCCGAGTCGGAGGCGGGCAGCTGCTTGTAGAGGATGCCGCGCTCCTCGTGGTAGCCCGGCAGGTGCGAGGTGACGTTAAGCACGCGCGTCACGCCCAGGGCGCGCAGCGTGGCCAGGTCGGCGGCGTCGCGCTGGTTGCCCAGGTACAGGAAGGGCAGCACGCGCGACGCCGGGTGGTCGTTGATGTCGGCGGCGCCCAGCCCCACGGGCGAAGGCGGCGCGCCCAGCAGGCAGTTGCCGCCGCGCGCCCCGCGCAAGCACGGAGACGCCGGCGGCCGCCCCGCCCCGCGCCGCCCGCCGCCGCGGCAGCGGCCGCCGCCGCCGCCGCCGCGGACGCCGGGGGCAGCAGGGTGTCCTCGCAGAACTCTTGGTGCCGCCGGTGGAACTCCTTATGGCCCCCTGCAACACAAGAAACGCTTGGGTTAGCACACCATCGACTGCACACCCGACTCGGGAAGGAACACGTGTTCAGAAATGTGGTATTAGCTTTCTCACTTGGCTAAAATCTAAATCGTTGGTCTCGTTGAAATTTTAGAAATACTCGTTTTAAAGAGACAGCACCTTTTCTCGTTCAACACACCTTACAAATTGTTTACAATTACGAAAATACGACTTGATCATGGGTTCTAATCAACAAGAATCTACGATCACCTTGAGTATTATTTCTGTTATTTAAAAATTATGCGCGCAACCCCATTTTCAAGAATTCATGACATCGTTGAATGTATATTTTTGTATCTATTCAGTTCACTCAGCTTCATTGTTTTGTAACGTTTACAGCTGAATTTTAATTCTTACATCGATAATAATGGCGATTGGTCTACTTTGATGTACTATATCACTTTTCGTTCGGCATACTTAATCCAGTATTATTCTGTAAGTATCGCATTGTTCTAGATACATTATATTTGCAAGTTATCGGCTGGAATAAGCTAGTTTTACACCTTTCACTGGAGGACGTTTTAAAACGTATTTTCTATGTCATTTTCTTCTCGTCAGTTTACCACAACTCCAGTTGTTTTTTTCACTAAGGAGATAAAGCGAAAATAATGTTTAAAGCAATGTGTAGGAGTAAAATAACGTATGCAGGTTTGCATGGCACTCTTAAACAATGAACTCTCTCTGTAACATGATGGGGACTACGAGATAAAATTTACAAATGTTTTGATAGTCAAACATTTATATATTTGTATCGACAGTTTCGTGCTAGTGTAACCATTATTTCCGTCAAAGGAATATACATTAAAAGAGAAAAAACTTAAATGACCTCACCGGATGTTATTCTTGGATTCCTCGAGTTGCCATTGGCTATAACACAAACTTCCTACGCGATGAAGTCACGCAATTCGTAATTTCAATGCAACAAAATGTCCAAAATAAGACTTGTGTATTAATTGTGATGTATATTTACAACCATATTTCTAGAAACTTGATTTCAACTTGCTGGTCCAACTTGCAACTCAATCGTAAGCAACAGTGAAGAAATCCGAATCGCCTCTGTGCGACTCATTCTCTCTCAGAGGGTCAGGCGGAAGGGCAGAGGGGCTATTTCTAACGTTGCAACTTCGAAACCAGGCTTCCCGAGATTCTAATAAAACAAGTACCACGCTGACGAGTATAGAGCCAAGACGCCAGCGGGATGCTGGAGAACCGGCCGACATTCTTCTCCAGTGACGCAGGCGGAGTTAGGGAAATCCCCTCGTCGGACCGGTCGACCCAGGGACTCGAAAGCTCGATCCATCGCTTATTCACCGCGCTTATGTCCGAGGAGTCGCCTTACAAGGCCGCATGTTAGTAGCGCGAAGATGGCGGCCTATCTCAGTTTATGTACTTAGAACACATCTCTGTAAATTGGTGTTAAGAGCTCTGCCACGATATTCCGACACACCACTATCTTCGCAATTCGTAATCGCAGACGTAATCAACATCATGCACATATTCTTCAACTAACCCAATTATAAGTGTTTTAGACCTGTTGAAATGTCTGCTTATAAATTGCCATTTCTGTGACATTATTACTTGTACGGGACTGTCCATTCTGTCCCCAGCAAGAAAAGCCAAGACGATTCTTTGGAAACGTTCTCCATCGCGCGACAAGCAGATGGTTCCCAGTAAGTCGTTCTGCGAAAAGCACAACGAACAGAGCTTCAAATAGTTCGCAATAAAATATCTTTTTTAAACGGCCGATCGCAACTACAGGCCATTACGTCGTCACGTCAGCGCTACCCGCCAGGGCCGACCCGAGGGCGCTTCCGGGGGAAGTTTGCACGCGAGGGGGACGCCGTCTGACGTGAAGCTCAAATTCAAGAAGCGCCGTCATCGGCCCTTTCGTCGGGCCTTGATCCATTGTGGTCTCGGGCCATTCCACGATAAGTAGTCATAGACAATGGCTTCGATCACAGTGCAGACGAAAAATCGGTCGCTCTCTACCGGACGACTTCCCGAAAAATCGTCCGACTTAATTCATCAGAAAAAAACACATACAACCGAATGTTACATCCGAAATCGGCCGAATATTCCCGTAAATCCGCAGTCTCACTGAAACTTTTCCGAGAAGCACCCTCAAGACCATCTACAAGTATTGCAAGTGGTCTTGATATTACAGATGGCTTTGATTCTCCAGCCGATGTCGGGCGAATGGAACCGATAGAAAGGAACGTAACAGAGCCTTTCCCGACAGCCGATGTTTCAGGTCACCGTCGGAAGAGGTCGTTCGGGTGCAATATGGCTACTTACATTTACCAGCACATGAATCGGGCAAGTCCGATTGCAGTCGACCGAAATTTCGGCCAAAATCGGCCCCACTGTGACCGCCGTCTGAGAGTTTGGACCAATGCAGTAATATCCTCGCGACATGTTATTAATCATTACTCCAGTGCGTAAGCAAAAATCATTCGCCTGGTGGAATGGATGTATGATTCCAAATTGGGAAACCACAATGTTGGGAATGGGAGTGTTTAGACGCCGCTCTGCTTTTAAAACGCCCGCTCCATTCTGGAGCTTATTTTCAACCGTGTGATGTGGTAGCACTAAGGATCCCACGCCTATAAAATCCAAATAACGACTCATCAACAAATAGAAAGTCACGTTTGGACCCTGGGTGCTTCTGGAACGGCGCCTGCCGGAGGGTTTATAACGAACCGATGACTGAGCAAATGTTAGAAAGTCTTTCGCCTTGGAGCGCATCCAAGTCTTTTTCGCCCCGAGCCGATTCAAATATAGAAAACCAAAACAGCAACTTCATACACGGTTTCGAACCTCATACGAGCGCATGAGGGTTCACAGCAGCAGCCAGAAGGGTGGAAGAGGCGGTAAGAAGAAATGAAATGAAACAAATCAAACGGTGCTATCTACCTTCTATATATCTCCCTCCTACTGGTCATTGCGAGCTTTTATACGTGTCCCTGACCTCTAAACGCATTTTGAGGGAAGTTTAAATTTTGAGTTACGACGTGTTTGTGTGTTTCTCTTTCTTTTTTTTAAGATTCCAAAAGCGACCAGAACGGGCGCAAGCTCGGCCTACTCCGCCGGGACTCATTAAGTAACCGCGAGCGAGTGAGCGCGCGCGCGGCGGCGCCCGCTGCGCAGCTGTCCTGCGAGCAACGCGGGCGCGTGAGTCACGCAGAGGCACGCCGGGGGCTCCCCTGCGGAGCTCGGCACGCGGTGAAGTGACACAAACGGACAGCTCCTTTCGCGTACGTTCCCAAGGATGAGGCACGGACGGGCGGACGGGCGTGCGTCAGCCGAGACGTTCTCCGCCCGCGTCGCGGCGCGGCGCCCGACGACGCCCCGCCTACCAGGAAAGCCGCGCGCACCCGCGCGCGCTGCGGTCGCCTTTGGCAAAACGGGGCGGCGGGTACCGGGAAGGGGCGCTTCGACCAGTCATTTTCCAGAGGCCTCCTTGCGTCAGGCGATCCAGCAGAAGCTGGGTTTCCCTCCGCGCTTCGCTATAATACAAACAATCCACCCCCCGCACGTCACTTGTTCTCATTTCCCCCACCCCACCTCTTTTTAAACGGATACGTCGCCGTCTAGTGTATCGCAATTCAGCTTTCCATCACCACCATTGTTGTGTTCTTCAGTTATTTTCCAAAATCATTATTCATATTTCTTTTTCGAATACCAATACACTGAGTGCAGAACTAAACAACAGCCGGTGCGTGTGCACGCCTAACCTCTCGTCTACCTTCTAGGAGTAAATAGGAACACATGCTCTATATTGTTGCGAAGTTGGCTAAAAACATCAACTACGTGTTGGTCCCGAAATACACGGCGGGGTTCAGTGTGCTGCGCGTCTGCGCCAAAAACCGCAAGGTCTTTACGTGCGTACTACATACGACAGCTGCCCAGCAATTTGGCACCGGGGCGCATTTAGAAGGTGTGATGCGTTCGCCCATTGTTGTAGTCGGCGATGCCTTTCAATGCCCATCGTGATTCACAGGCGCCGTTTCATGGACAGTCTCCTGGATACCAAGACGAACACTCACTTCTTCAGGTCAGTCACCGGCCGAGTCCGCCTGTTTTTGGTCAAGTTCAGTTATAGTGAAATTAATTGGCGCAACGAAAACTATAAGCATTTAGAGGCACAATGTTGAAAGATTGCTTCAAGGTGACTAACTCCTGAGGCCATTGTTGCCGAAGACAATGCCACGTCGCAGCATGTTGGGTAAATTTTAACTCTCGTTTACTTTGTTATTCTCTTAAATGTTTTAAATTGACAAATATTAGCGCAAAATAAAATTACTGGTGACTTAAACTGAAACGAGAATGTGAATCATTTACAAATATTATTTACAATGTTTATTTCTTCTAAAGAAAGTTAGATTATATGGCTGCGTAATACCAGTTAAACCCTGACTGGGTAGCCTGGAGATGGTAGCACATGAGGCAATAGAGGGTGTCACCGCCCCCCCAAAGTCGAGCATAAAAATATATATTCAGAACTGCATAAATGGGTTTTAATTAAAAACGAAAAATGTCTTTTATCAAAACCGTTACTATTTATTTAAAACTTAAATAATTAGGTAGTAAGCACAAATGGATTGTTTAACTATTAAATTTCATGCTAATAATAAATTATATCATTCAATGAGTTGCTATCCTTTGTCCTTGAATAACATGTTTAAATATTCGAAAGAAACTGAATTTGCAGTATTATAATTGTATGCGCCCAATCTTTATGAAATTAGTTAAATTTTATATTATAGATTATAAAATTTTTAAATTAAAAATTCACGGAGCGTCATCTCTATATAAGTACTTTTCAGGGCCGGACAGCTTCTTCCTGCTCCATCATAGCTAGCAACTGGTAATATAGAAGAGATATTTAGAACTATATTTATATTTTCAAATACAACTTGCGCACAAATTAACCCACATTCTCTAT